CGGTGCCTGAACCGATACTTATAAAAAAAATAATAATAAATAAATAAATAAAAAATCCCCCCAAAAATGATGGATTGGCCATTAGAATAGAAATAGAATAGAGAGTGCAAATGTTAGAGGGTCAAGTTTTTTAATTAAAAAAAACAAGCAGATAAAATTAGAAGTAGCATTAGAATAGAGAGTGCTAGTGTTAGAGGGTCAAATGAAGATGAAAGAGGTGTGTTTTCAGCCGTTTCTTGAAAATATTAAGGACTCAGCTGCTTGGATTGAGCTGGGCAGGTCATTCCACCAGGAGGGAACTGTTAATGTAGAAGTCCATGAAAGTTTTATCATAGGTAGAATGCAAAATGTTTCAATATAAGCATTTCAGTCAAATGTAATTTATGCAATATTTCAAACCTTTAACCCACTTGGGAAAATCAACCCATGGCAACAGTTTAAAAGTAGCCCAATTCTGTGGAAAACACGCGGACTTGGCAACCCTGCATCCAACAAGAGCTGCAGGAGTCAGCTTTGACTGATCACAGGTCGAGAATAAGGAGAGATGACTGACAAGACCATGCTTGAGTATCTTGTAAGACGTGCTCCCTTTACACAGAGTGCGTGTGATTGCGAAATCGAAAGTGAAAGTAAACAGCGCAAATGCTCATTCAAAAGAGATTTAAATATCTCTCTCCCTGATATCGGCTCCCTGATGCGCCAAAATTATACACAATATTAGAATGTTTAAAGGAGTGGACACGAAAATCGTGGGAGCGAAACACATGTTGCGGGAGCAGGCGGCAGTGGTCAGAGATTCAGCGGGAGCGGGATTAAGAAAACAGCCAAATCCCGGACATTTTGGGCGATTTAAGAAATCCCGGCCGGACGCATTTTTGTAGGTCCAAAATGAGGACATATCCGGGAAAAAGAGGACGTATGGTCACCCTAGTATTAAGTAAAACAAGAATCAAAATAGCATCCTTAGATTCCTTATGATTCACATCTCTACTGAAGACCATTTTTAGTAGGAAATTAAAGAACAGAGTGCAAGAGCTCATTTCTATTAAACATAGTACCTGCTGAAATGGGTTGGGGAGCGTCTGGCTGCAGTACAGGTAATAATGCACAATATCTAGAAAAGAAGAAACAACAAGAAAGAGTGCATTATGAACAGCATGGCATATAGACGATAGAAAAGAAAAGTGACATGTCTTCAAAATCTGGTCATAACTAAGATTAAATGAATCTTCTGATGGATGACATCCACTATACTACACAGATGTGTAGCAGCCACTTTTAACCATTCAGGCTGTGGTGCTATTTTCATTTTTGGGTGAAATATTCCTTTAAGTCTTGCGCGCTATGGAAAAGCAGCCTCTGAGGAATGAAATTTTCCTTTGGGAGGCTCTGTCCTCGTGCACCTGAGGGAGCTTCTGTCTGTCTGGTAGAGCAGGAACATATTATGGCTGAGAACAGGATTAAAGTTACGTAATCAAAGGAATGGCCATTTTACCGATGTATTCAGTCACAGTGATTATAGAGCAGGATTAAAGGTCTCTCAGATTAACCCTATAAACTATTCAAGCACTTGAAAGTGTAAAAATGCCATTTCATGCAAATTTGTTCACTGAAGAACTATAATCCCCATTCATAATATGAGATACACTCACCTGAGCTCATCACATCTTTTGTTTGGTTCATCAGAAATTTGTCTGGTGCAACACAGAAATCACTTGTGCCCTAGAGCGTAAAACACAAAAAAGTAAAAAACCTGCAATAAATGAAATATAAATATGAAATACACTACCATTCAAAAGCCTGATGTCTGTAATATTTTTTAGTTTTATTTTTTTTTGCATGTTTTTTAAGTGTCTGTTATTTTATTACAAATACCGTAAAAACAGTAATATTGTGAAATATTATTACAATTCACAATAATTCTTTCTATAATAACTCTTACTCAAAACTTCAGGATTTTTTGATCAAGTGCAAAACTTGCACAACTTTTTAATATCATTTTTTAAACATTTAATTAATTTATTTTTATTTTTTGCTGTATAAAAGTATAAATTTTTATTCAAAAAATATCTTACTAACCACAAATGTTTGAATGATAGTGTATACATGTTCAACAAATATACTGTTCCAAAATGCTTGTATAATTGTATTTCAACTAACACTTCTGTTACTGCAGGATGTTTGGGGCAATAGGTGAAGGGATAAATCGACACAGGAAGCACACATGGCTGCAAACACACACTCATATACTGTAGGCTTGTAGAATAAACTTATGGGCCCTAATAAACAGCTATCTGTTAGACAGGAAGGAACATATGACACGAGTCATCACACAGACTCGAAACATACTGTATAGGCAACAGGAAGGGATGCAGACATTATGCTATAATGTCTGTCTAAGGAAAAAACAGACATGCAGAAACACCACGCACACACTCTCACATATAGTTTGCACATAAACATCCCCAGGCTGTGAAAGGAACACATATTTCTTTTCTGTCAACAATACATTTGCATTCAGTGATGACATCATTGTACCATTCTACTAGGAGCAATTTCTGGCAAAAAGCAAAAAGGCAAGAAAACTTAAAACAATTCAGATCAGAATACAAGTGACAGCACAGAAAAGAAGCAAAATAAGTGTTGAAAAATAATACAATATACAAAATAAAAATAAAAATAATAATAAAAAAATTAAAAAATAAAATAAGTGGTAATATTGACAACTAACTCAGACTTTGCCTCCTCATTTCACAAGTCCACCACATGTCAATTATTCTACTGCCTTCAATATAAAAAATTTCTCAGCCATTATCATACGGCAACCCATCAGGAGCATTTTTTTTTTTTTCCTGCAGTGATCCACTTCCATCAACTTTAAAACATTCCCCTCATCCGGTCTCAGAGCATGGAAGTTTAAAGTCAAGTCCACATCCTGTTGAACTCCTGAGGCTCAATACCTTCTGTTATGCATTAATTCATTAGCCGTGAAGACAGGATCAAAGCCCTATGTGTCTGTGTCTGTGTCTTACGCCTGCAGGAAAGATGAGTTCATTACAGAGAACTGAGCGTGTCCACTGATGCTGAAGAGGTGGCGCATCTACATTTCTCTCTTAAAGGGTTAGTTCACCCAAAAATGAAAATTATGTCATTAATTACTCACCCTTGTGTTGTTTGAAACGTACCAAGATGATCGACAAAGCAGTCCATGTGACATCAGTGGTTCAACTGTAAAGTTACGAAGCTACGAGAATACTTTTTTGCGCAAATAAAACAAAAATAATGACTTTATTCCACATTTTCGTCTCTACTGCGTCACTTGTGGACACGCGTTCACAACAGTATCATGATGCGAGCGTGTGGCGGCGACAATACATACTATATTGTATTGTATTGTATGTGATCCTGGACCACAAAACCAGTCTTAAGTGTAAATTTTTCAAAATTGAGATTTATACATCATCTGAAAGCTGAATAAATAAGCTTTCCATTGATGTATGGTTTTGTTATGATAGGACAATATTTGGTTCGAGATACAAATATTTGAAAATCTGGAATCTGAGGGTGCAAAAAAATCAAAATATTGAGAAAATCGTCTTTAAAGTTGTCCAAATGAAGTACTTAGGAATGCATATTATTAATCAAAAATTAAGTTTTGATATATTTATGGTAGGAAATAAAAAAAATATATATTCATGGAACATGATCTTTACTTAATATCCTAATGATTTTTGGCATAAAAGAAAAATCTATAATTTTGACTCATACAATGTATTTTTGGCTATTGCTACCAATATACCCCAGCGACTTAAGACTGGTTTTGTGGTCCAGGGTCACGTATTATATTATATTATATTATATTTATTTTTTGCTGTGGAATGTGTACATTCAGTAGTGGGAGAACAGCTGTGCAGAAAACACTCCTGTATTTGGAAATAAATTTGTAAGGAATGCATGACCAGTAATGTTTCTACACAGAAAAGCCTCTTTTTCAGCACTATAGCTACAAGTCCCACTGAAAGGCTATATTGATTCTTCCATACTGTTTGCTTTTTTGATGGATATAATTGATTTGTGGGTAGCTGTTAAACTGCATTCATAACCTGCCAGTTACAGTTATGAGTAGGAGAATAAGTGGGTGAGTGAGTGAAATAGTTTGTAAGAGAAAATAGAGGGGATATAAAAGATAAATGAATCACACTCTGCCATAAAACTTTGCCAAAAACTGATTTTCCCACGACTCTACAGGGAAGCTATCTTAGCTCAATTCTGAAACTAAATGAAAAGCCTAAAGTAATAAAAAAAACAAAAAGCAAAACAAAAAAAATATGAACAATGCAATTCATTTTATTTAATCTGAATTAATTTAATTGCTTTCATCTAGACTAGAATTTCATCTAGACTGTCAACAAAATGCTGTTGTGGAAGTAATGTCTGAATCAAAAAAGCCATTGGGTCTTTTTAACTGAAGGTGGACCTCCATTCAATACTCATCATCTGAAAGCTGAATAAATAAGCTTTCCATTGATGTATGGTTTTGTTATGATAGGACAATATTTGGTTCGAGATACAACTATTTGAAAATCTGGAATCTGAGGGTGCAAAAAAATCAAAATATTGAGAAAATCGTCTTTAAAGTTGTCCAAATGAAGTACTTAGGAATGCATATTATTAATCAAAAATTAAGTTTTGATATATTTATGGTAGGAAATAAAAAAAATATATATTCATGGAACATGATCTTTACTTAATATCCTAATGATTTTTGGCATAAAAGAAAAATCTATAATTTTGACTCATACAATGTATTTTTGGCTATTGCTACCAATATACCCCAGCGACTTAAGACTGGTTTTGTGGTCCAGGGTCACGTATTATATTATATTATATTATATTTATTTTTTGCTGTGGAATGTGTACATTCAGTAGTGGGAGAACAGCTGTGCAGAAAACACTCATGTATTTGGAAATAAATTTGTAAGGAATGCATGACCAGTAATGTTTCTACACAGAAAAGCCTCTTTTTCAGCACTATAGCTACAAGTCCCACTGAAAGGCTATATTGATTCTTCCATACTGTTTGCTTTTTTGATGGATATAATTGATTTGTGGGTAGCTGTTAAACTGCATTCATAACCTGCCAGTTACAGTTATGAGTAGGAGAATAAGTGGGTGAGTGAGTGAAATAGTTTGTAAGAGAAAATAGAGGGGATATAAAAGATAAATGAATCACACTCTGCCATAAAACTTTGCCAAAAACTGATTTTCCCACGACTCTACAGGGAAGCTATCTTAGCTCAATTCTGAAACTAAATGAAAAGCCTAAAGTAATAAAAAAAACAAAAAGCAAAACAAAAAAAATATGAACAATGCAATTCATTTTATTTAATCTGAATTAATTTAATTGCTTTCATCTAGACTAGAATTTCATCTAGACTGTCAACAAAATGCTGTTGTGGAAGTAATGTCTGAATCAAAAAAGCCATTGGGTCTTTTTAACTGAAGGTGGACCTCCATTCAATACTTACCCTTTCTTTTATTTCTTCCTCCTTCATTGATGTGGTTTAATGAAATCTGCCACTTTTAACTCTTTTCCCAATAAACACATAAACCACAGTATTTTTGATTGTACACACACCCACATCAAACGCAATAAATTGGACTGTTATCACCTCCTTCAGGCAAGCAGACAGCAGTTGACTATTATTTGTCATGCTCTGCCACATAAACAAGCTTTCGATAGAGATGGACTGACTGTGACCCGCCTCAAGTGCATATAAAAACCAACTAACATCACATACAAATACACAATTATAAGTAACCACATGAAGTGTTCTGAATGGAAATACTGATGCGTTTGTCTTGAATTCTCGATATCTCAGATAATGACCTGAATAGAATCACTGATTGAATAACAGGCTTGTTGGTTTCTACTTACCACTGCAGTGGCCACATCAGCTCCGAGAGACGACCAACTCAATATCAGAGTCAGAACACCGCAGACCATCATCCTGCACACACACCATACAAAACACGATTGACGATACTATGTTGGGTTGCCAGTTGATGTCCAATGTCAAATCTGGGTTCTGAATTATGACAATACGGGTGAATTTTTTTTTTTATTCTCTTTATTCAAAAAATGAATTACTATTTTTGGGCTGAAATGAGACCATGTTTTCATGAGATTCAGCCATGCATAAGCATAACACAGTTTGTGCTTTGTGTGTGAGAGAAATTTGGGTAGACAGTACCCAACAGAGCTTGTTCTACAGATTTTGTCGCCTATGAATCTTTATAAACGAAGGGTTTGTACTATATATAACAATCACTGACCTCAATTTAGGATATCTCTGATAACACAGTCCCTTTACTTCCATAAGACTGCAGAACACTTCCAACGCTTCACTTTATACTGAACATGACAGCAAGTGTTCTATACTCCGAAATCCACTGTGCTGCTAAATGACACACTTTCCACTTTAGGAAATACCATGCAGTAAAATCCAGCTGATAAATTAAACAATTACTCACGTCTAAGCTATTGGTTTCCTTTTTAATAGTGCTGTCAAACGATTAATCGCGTTTAATCGCATCCAAAATAAAAATAACGTGACATTTTTCTTAAATATATACATGCATGGGTGTGTATTTATATATACATAATAAATATACACAGTACACACACATATACTATGTGAACAAAAACGTTTTATTTTGGATGCGATTAATCGCGATTAATCGTTTGACAGCACTACTTTTTAATTTATCATTTAGATGAGAACTTTAATGAAAAACATTGTTATTTTCAGATGAACAGCATTAAAAGCCAATCCTTAGAGAACGAGGAGAACATTTTGCTTTTCTTTTCTCTTTGATCTTTCTTTTAATTAACTTCTTTCTATTCAATCTTATGTCGTAACATATTAAAGGGTGTCAAATCATACATTTTTTATTATTGTTTTCTTCCCTGAGATAAAGTTACTCCTACAGATAAAGTTAGCCAAGTTTTTTTGCGGCAAAACAGCCATTTTTCATACCCGATCTGACCCTTAAATTAAACGTTTTTGGTTTCTGACTGCAGTTTTTGCTTATTTTTTAAAAACGGTCTTGGTTAGGATGTTTTCTGAGCATTATAGGAAATGTATTTTCAAGAAAATTAGGGCAATATGACTACTTTCTTTTTATATCTTTGTCTTTAATTCCAGTATTCATCATCTCATGATAACCCAGTGTAATGTCATGTTTGTACTCACGTAGTGAGCAGCCAGCGGGATTGTTTGGCCAGGCCCAAACAAGCAGCAAGACAGATGACCAGATCCAAGATCAGTATCAGGAGGTATGTCAACCACCTTCAGAAGAAAGAAAAACCAGCAGATGAAGACTTTTATAAGCAGTTAATGAATACACATCAAATGACGTGATCAGAGATGCTGACAATAATTCACACAATATACTGCCAAGTTTAGAAACTGTTAATCAAGATATGTGTGAAAAATAAACAGGGTATGAAGCAAGAGTGTGTTTGTGTATCCATCTAAAAGAAAAATGACAAACGAAATATCTTTAATTTCTCAGATGTTTCACACAGACTTGCTTCCTCTTGGGGAAAAACAATCCCAGTCTCAAAAACATCTCCTCTAGAGTCTCAGAAATATCTTAACAGCATCTCAAACTGTTCTCAAACCTGACAATACCAAGAAAAAACAAACAAACATAAAAATAGGAAACATTTCTCTTATCACATCAGATTCTCTAAAGACCAAGTTATTATCAGAGCTATGCTATCCACATCATACTCATTTTTCATGCCAACAATTGTTCCATTTGTGTCATTTTTTATTTCTCCTCACAAATTTTAGGTTGCATTTCAAGTTATATACTTAAGTAAAACATGACTGAGACTTTCCTGAGCTACAAAAGCGCAATCGCTAAAAGATAAGATCTTCTTGTTAGCGTGTGTGTTCTGCCTAGACCACTCCAGAGAGCTCTTCGTCTCTGGAAATAATTCATAATAGATGAACAACTTCTATAGGTATTAATATTTCATACGCTGAAACCCTGTCAGAGGGGAATAGATGAGCATGTCTCTTCCTATAAACTGCTCTCAGACACATGCACACCCACATTCACATTATCACTATCACATGTCAGCTATATTAATATGCTTCCTATCAAAGATGAACTTTTCTGGCAACCTAAACTAAAGAACTGTGACATCATCACTTCAACCTGTCATCTGCAATGCGGAATAATGACAGGAATATGAATGCGGTTCTGGCGGATGTTTTGATGGATGACCAGCGGTGAAGCTGCGGCAGTAAATAACGTGTGATCTATAGTGTCTAACACGAGGAAATGGCTTTAAATGCAACTATAAAACGGACTGTACACACATGAAGTCATGCATTAGCCGCTGATGGACTACTATGGTGTTTCACTCAACCACACTTAGAGGAATATGAAAAGTCAAGGATGCAATATTTCATAATGTTTTTGCCTGCTACAAATAAACCTGCACTGCACTGAAAATGTAGGCCTATTGCAGAAGAGGTACATTATGTGGCAGCTCTCATCATTACCTGTAATATTCCACATATGCTGTCTGATCAGCTATGGCGGCCAGGTCTACTTTCGCCTTTTCCCAGTCAGGAAGCCCAAGCAGCTGCTTAATGATGTTTTCTGACATCTGTTGCATGAACTGCAGTGTCTGCACAAAGTCTCCTCGTGCTGCAAAGATCTCACCCAGTCGAGACAAGTGCTCGTTCAGGCCGCTCTGCATGTCTCCCACAGTACCAGTGACCTGTGAGAGAATAACACTGTTAGTGCACACAGACATACTGTGATGGGTTTATAATGACATACTCTACCATTAAAAAATTGGAGTCAGTAAGATTTTTTTTTTTTTAAAGAAACTGGTACCATTATTCAGCAAGGATGCATTATTTGATCAAAAGTGACAGTAAAGACTTTTAGTAAAGAATTTCAAATAAACGCTGTTCTTTTTAACTTTCTATTCATCAAAGAATCCCTAAATAAAGGTATCATGTTTTCACAAATATAGTAAAGCAGCACAACTTTTGAAGAAAGGTTTCTTGAGCACCAAATCAGCATATTAAAATATTTTCTAAAGGATCATGTCACACTGAAGACTGGAGTAATGAAGTTAAAAATTCAACTTTGCAATCACAAGAATAAATTACATTTTAAAATATATTAAAATAGAAAACAGTTATTTTAAACTGCAGTAATATTTCACATTATAGTTTTTGATTAAATAAACGTAGCCTTGGTGAGCATAACAGACTTCTTTCAAACTATTTCAGGTTGAGCATTTTTCAATATTGAAAACATTAAGACCACATTTTCAAATAATCAATTTAAAAGAAGTAATTGAAAAGCTTTTAGAGTTAATTTAACATCACTAAATCTGTTTATCTGGCTGACGTGCACATTAAATGCAGAATAAACAAGAACACGAAGACACATGATGTTCTTCTTAACATGTTCTCTTATTCTATATCCCAAATTAGGTTTTTGAGAAAGTACTGCATGAGCTCTAAAAAGAGCTGTTTTCTGTGTGAACAGCCACGAAGAACTAGCCGATTTGTGTTCCCTCATCCATTCTAATAGACCCATCCATTAAATAGAGTGTGTTGTGTTAGAAAGCAGATGAGATGAGGCCAGATGTGTGCATGTACATACAGTACATACAGCATATTTAAAGCTCAATAATAGCTAAAAACAGCACAGAATCAGGGGATTCCCAGGCAAATGCTTTAGATCCTGAAATCAAATACTCGTGGCCCAGACTCAATTCCCAGCAGTTTGCTTTAGGTTGTGACATCACTACTCGAGCGCGAAGTGATCTCATACCCAAAGCTGTGAGAAACTCAGTTCCACATTGATTATCTAGTTTGACCAGATTCGTTTTTCATGGAATCTTTGATCTCACATCAGCACTGCACTCTCCTGAATCCTTTCATCTTCATGAAACACCAAAGTCCTGATGCTTTTTTTTTTTTTAGTTCTGAGGGTGATTTTGAGAAACATTTTGTAAGTTTCTTGGGAATAGCAAAGTTTATTGTGTGGTCCCTCCTCAGTGGGGTTTAATATCTCAGCTGAACGTAATCCAATAATCCAGCTAATGAACAAACGCTAGACATCATGAGCTTTGTTTCTTAAGTCACAACTGTAATGCATATGTGAGGAAGTGGTTAAGATACGAGACCGAGATTTTTCTCCCAGCGCTGCGGCTCTAATTGATTGTCTCTGGTTTCTGTAGGCGCTGAGCTTCTGCAATTAAATTTGAATGGGAGAGTTGAAGCGTGAAATGGAACACAAGCACTAAGTGGTGCTGCCTGCTCTATATCCAGATACGATTTTCTATTTCTCCATTAAAATTGTGGAGGAAAAAAAACAGTAAGACAAAAAATGAGAAGGGAGAGAGAGAGAGATTACAAAAAAGGGAATGATGACCTTACTGCTTACAGGTCTTCTAATAATGGCTGTGGGAATGTCTGGGGGTTTGTTGGTAGAACTAGTTCAGAGGTTCTCAATATAGTTACTGAGAACCAGAAATGAACATATAAAGACCAACAGTGGAACAAAGACTGCAAGGAAGTAGTAAGATAAAGATCAGATGTGACTCTTACAAGCAGTGGTGGGTTGAAACTTGAGCTTTTTAGAGTTCAGAACCTGACATTGAAAGGAAAAACCAATCTCAGGAACAACAATCAAATTCACTTTGTCTTCAAATTCACCTTCGACGAACGTTTGATTAACTGCCTCGTGGGTGATGGATAAAAAGCTCTCAGCTCCTTTATTACTTTCTATCAATTTTCTCTTGCAGTTAACTGATGTGTTTGAAGAATATCAGGAGGATTGTGGGTATTTTCCTGGGAGAGACTTTCAGTGAGTTTTTGGGTTGTTTGAAATGGTAAGGATCCCACAACTTTTCCACCAACCACTAGCAAAAACTTTCAAAACTCTGCAGAAGAACATGCATTCTTGCACCTTTAACACATTTCCAATGTTTCACCCTATTAAACATAGTCTAAATATTAGAATATTGGCAGTCATTTGCACATTGCCAGTCGAAAAAGAAAACAAGCAGAAAAGGAAAAGAAGAAGAAAAAAAAAGAAAAAGATTTTTCAGTTTCGCCTAAACTGAAATGTCCACAAATGTGACACTTTAATCTATGCTGTCAAACATTTCACCAACTACTTCTCACTCAAAATCCAAACTCTGGATAAGGTTACATTCAATGAAAACATTGTAATGGTTAAGCAGCTGGCTTGAGTCCAGAAAATGTCCACATTCTGGTCAAAGCGTTAAAAAAAAAAAAAGTGTCCTTCGCAAGCTGAGAGGACGGTACAAAACGACCCAGTGTTCTGCATCATGTCAGAGAACAGAGGTATTTATAGAACAACAGAGCTCTGGGTTGACATTCTGTAATATCATATCCAGTATCCACCCTGATCAAAATTTTTTATCCAGTATTGGCTACAAAAGTATTGGACATTTTCAGAATTATTACCTGGAAAATAAATACAGTTACATTAAACAGAAAGCATGTCATCACACTACATGGGGTAAGTTGTCACAATGACCATGTTGTTTATTGACATAGATTTTAGAATAATATCTTTGAATAAAAGGTGAAAATAAAAATATTATGTAAAATTACAATATTGAGAATTAATAATAATAATGATTATAAATATAAATAATAAATAATTATCCATAATACAGTAAAATATCATTTAATTATTAAATAAACAATTACTTTTATATACATTTTATAAAGTGCATACAACATAAAACACATGTACAAACAAGTTGCCCCACAATGTATCTACAGCATTATGGTTCTCCTGTAACTCAAACCAAGTAATTTATGTCCTTGTTAATCCCTGGGTGCCTCTGTGAACACAAAACAGATCCGCACAGGAAGCCACACAGTTCATTTGCAAGCACAGAGGGGGTCCTGAGAGGAGGTGAACAAGAGACCTTATGGCCCAGAACCAATAAACCCGAAAACCAAGCAGTCACCGCTCAACAACCCTGCAAAAAACAAGTCCTGCTATTCCTTCTCTTGACTCTTTTGAAAGGGCAGCCCAGTGCTTTCAAACAAAAAGAGTGTGTGTGCATGTGTGTGTGTGAGAAAGAACAAGCATCTGTGTGCAATGGATGCCAAATTAAATCATTGTTTTCAGGCAGGCAGAGCCATTGAAAAGCCTCAATCAGGAAGTCAAAGATTTCCACAAGTGACTTCATCAAAGCCTTTGTCACAGGGTTCATAGCTAATTATGGGCATTGCATGCTGGGTTTTCAGACAGTGGACACTTTGTACCATTTGAAGGACCTGGTCTCTAGGGAGCATTTCAAGAATGGAAGGTCTCTTCTACTTCGATAAATATATTGATGATTCTTGAAGCTAGCTGACATTAATCTGAGGTCATGACCTGGAGATCAAAAACATCTCTAGTCCTTCTGAGCACCATTACATAATTTTTTTTCACAACAACGTGCTCTTATCTCTCTGAGGCAGACTGCTACTGAAAATTACGGCTGATTTTTCCCCGAAAGAGCAGTTCCTAGGTCAGTTCTGCCTTTTGGCTTGTGATGACTCAGAGAGTGTGTTGAGGGAATCAAGTTGACCTCAGATAAGTGTGTGCTTCATAATTCAGAATGAGACAGAAAAAGACGCATTAATCTCCATTAGTGCAGATGGGGAGTTAATCCTCAACTCCTCAGCGGTGTAAGCGGGCAGATGCTCGGAGCGCCTTCAGTCTCCGTTCAGTTCAGAACCACAGCACCAACACTTCCCTGAAGGCTCTTACAACAGGTGTAAGTGAGCCGAACAGCTGTGGATTACTGATGTATAGCTTGAGAGATGTTTGCACTCAAATTTACACAATTTTTTGTGTAAGTTAAGTGAATAAATTTGTCATCAGCTACTCACTTGGAAAATAAATATAAGGTTAGGTTTGGGTTAATGATGTCATCACTAGAGTTGGGATAATGTCCAGTGGACCTCATACTGACAGTATCTGGGAATAATGACTGTTTTACTAACAGGGGTGACTCTCAAATTGTACTCTTCATACAACATCTTATAATAGCAGCTGTATGTAATTGTGGAGAGACGGATTGATAGACGAATGGAACAACAGATAGATTGAGGGAGCAACAGAGAGGTAGATAGAGTGATGGAATGATGGATAGAGTGATAGAGCAACGGATAGATAGAAAGAAAGATGGATCAGTGGATGGATGGGTGGATGGATAGAACAATGGATTGATAGATGGATGGATGGATGGACAGACAGAACAATGGATGGATGGACAGATGACAGAACAGTAGATGAAACGATGGATGGATGGATGGATGCACACACAGATGAATGGATGAACGGACAGCAGAATGATAGACAGACAGAATGATGGATGGACGGATAGAACGATGCACAGACAGAATGATAGAATGATGGATGAACGGAAGGATGAAAGGATGGACTGAATGACGGATGATGGACAGACAGAAAAATGGATGGACAGTGATGGAACTACAGAATGATGGATGGATGGACGGACGGTCGGATGGACGACAGAACAGTAGATGGACAGACAGATGGATGGATGGATGAACAGATGGACAGACAGACGACAGAACGATAGACGGACAGAATGATGCACAGACAGAATGACAGAATGATGCATTGATGGATGGATGAATGGATGGATGAACGAACTAAATAAAGGATGGATGGATGAATGAATGGATAGATGGAGGAACGGACTAAATGATGGATGGATGGATGGATGGATGGAAAGATGGATGGAACGACAGAACGATGAATGGATGGAAAGAACAAAAGAACGACAGACAGACAAACAGAATGATAGAACAACTGAAAGGCAGAATGATTAAAGGTTAGATAGAATGATAGAGCGATAGATAGAACGATAGAACGATAGATAGATAGATAGATAGATAGAACGACAGACAGATAGATAGATAGATAGATAGATAGATAGATAGAGGGGTTTTCAGGAAACCTGTTTGAAAACAGTAATTATTTTTGTAGCTGAAATTACATACTTTAATGAGGGGAAATGTGAACTAATCACTGCTTTTGCAGGCTTTCAGTCTGCCATGCAATTAAATAGCTAAAACTCACAACCAGAGGCATGAAATGCCCTACCAAGTGCATGAAATTGGTGCGTGAAGCAGGATTAAAGCGTCTTAGTGTCACTGTCAGCTCTACGCATTTGAATCAGAAAACGAAGACGGATATAAATAGGTATGGCTGACAATACATGAATAAGGTTTTATTCAGGCCCCAGCCTTCAGGGGACAATGACGAAAGGAAAAAGAGGCCTTCATAACTGCACAAACATAAAAGGCTGTAAAAACCAATTTGAGGTATTTTCTCCAACAACTCCATATCACAGAAACACACTAGAGTGTGTGTGCATTTTCTAACACACACAGATACACCCCTTGTCGTTTACATCTTTCCAGAGACACTGAGCAGTTGCACGTAGCAGCATATATCTTCAGCGGTGTCCTTGCTATTGCAAAGGGATGTCAGAAAATCAATCATGCACTCAGTGGGGATCCCATGAAATTTTAGCAGTGCCGATTGGCAAAAAAAGATTTAACAGGAGCAGGCAACTGAACTGGATATAAGGACCATCTGGCTGAGGTTTGGTTGGAAGAAACGCTTTGATAGAAAGTGTAGAACTATTTGCGGGGAGGGAAAAGAGATAATAGAGCCTTTAGAGGGAGTAAATTTGCTTGGGAGAAGTCTGCAAGACTATTGGGACACTTCAGCTGAAATCAGTCAAGACTACAGTTGGTCAGGGAGTCAAACACAGTCTCAGTGTGTTATTTATAGTCAGCGCTGCTATATTTGTACTTACCAAACTGTCCACACCCGCCAGCGTGTGATTGGCATTATAGAGAGAATAGGTCAGCTGGTACACCCCATCATTGATTTCACTGTTTCCATAGAAACCAACTCCCACGGCAACACTGAAAAGTCACAAGGTGAAAAGTTACAATTAGTTCACACATTGTAATCATCAGGCCCTTACAGAATATGCACATGCAGAAATCCGCAAAGGGGTTTCCAGAGATCTAAAACACCTGTCATTTACAAAGTTATACACATCCCTCCCTCCTTGTGTGACTTTTTATTAAATATTTTGGCTGTTTTTTTTCATGCTTTTTAGCTACCACTAAGCATGCACATTTTACCATATTTAATTACCATGGCTGAAAAACATGGAAAAATGTAACACAATTGAAGCTGTTAATAAATTGTGCTTTATGCACTTGGCCTTCACTTTAAGCAAAAGCTACAGTACTGCAAGTATCATAGTATTATTGTTAATATTAATATTTTATAATATTATTAACATTTCTTAATATTTATTTTCAGCTTCTCTTTTTAATAAAATTTAAGTAATTTCTGCAGTTATGTCATTATTATTAGTCTTTATTTTTAAATGGCTTTAATTTAAATTTCTTAATTCAAATATCAGTTTTAGTCATTTTAGTCACTTATTTCCAATGCAATATTTATATTTTTGTTAAGGTTTTTCTTTTTAAGTTTTTCTAATATTTATATTTTATTTTATTCCAGCTTTGTTTCAGCTACCAAAAAATATTTAACAGTTTTAGCTGACAATATCAACAATATTATAAAACCAAATCGTCAACTGGGACAATCTGAAGCCAGCTGCTGAGTAAGCCATGTCAGAAAATGTTTCCTGAGCTCAAATAAACGTCATTTTGAATGAATAGGCTCTATATGGATCTCAAGTTAAATGACTGGAAAATAAAGGCGCTGTGGTAGGATGGGTAGTGCACGCGTGCCACATGAAGGTCTTTAATATTCAGCAGGAGCCGTACTGAGCCAAAGGCTAATGTTGCCCAGACACAAATAACATAAAGGTTGAGGAAAAGTCAAATAAGATGGTGTCTTCTGCCAGTGAGAACAGTTCATAAACATTAAGAGAGCAAGAGAAAGAGATGAAGTGTTCAAAACCAATGGATCACTACACTGATGGTGACGTTGTAGCCTATGAAGAATTACAAAGAAATTATTCTGAACCAATCCTATACACTTATCTTTGGGAAAAAAATTGATACTTAAAATGTGATTCCTTGGGAATCAAGAAAAAAAATGTGCATCTTGTTTGTATTCTGTCATCAGTTATTCACCCTCATGTTGTTTCAAACCTGTATAACTTACTTTCTTCTGTTGAAAAATCTCATAAAACTTACATTGTAGGGGCTCGTGACATATCGGAGTACTAGAATGCCACAGAGACGTTGGGCTGGTAAACAACCACCTACTAACCACCCACAACACTCTAGTATCATACTGGCAAGTTTTGGACAGTCTCTACAACTGTTTGGGCTGTATATTAAAAGTAACTGCACTGACATATCCAGTAATATTGGACTGGTGAAGACATACTCATGATATTTCATTGCAAGAATCATATTTCTTTCTCCAAATCAAAATCTAGCTCACTACACAGCTTCAATAAATCAGACAATGGTCCAAATGTGGACTGAACGCAATCCATTTGAGATAAATACCATCTACAATACCAGAGAAACAAGTTAATGAGTTTTTGGCATGAAACAAAGAATATTAGCGTGAGAGTGCATTCTCCACCCCAAGCCACGTAGAAAGAATGATGTCATCAAAACGGCCAGACTCATCTCTGTTCTTGGTATTTGGTTCATTAGCCCCCAGAAACCCTATAAGGTCAATAACACTGCACAGGAAGTGAAGTCATATCCTGCATTGCATTGTTCATATAAGCTGCCCTTTAAAGTCTATTCCTGACCGACCCTCCTTTGTGTTTAACTTGAATTCGACATTTCGGGACTGTAATGAGCAATGAGTAATGAAATGCAAAATCTGTTCTCGGTCCTGTGTCAACTGAAGAATTGAGAGCGAGTTTAGATCAGACTCCACAGTATGGAGCTGCACAGGGGACTCCTGGGGAAATGTAAAAGTGTAATGATTCCTCCAAAGCTTCTTGCCTTTGGAGTGGGTGAAGAGTCATAAAGACGCACTCACAAACAAACACAAAGAATGCACAGTGCCCTACGGCCGTGTGCCGCCTTACGCCGAAACGACGCGCGGGAGAATGTGTGCGGCCTGGAACAAGAGACTTTATTAAAATTATGGGAAGACTGAATTCTCATTAGATGGATGCCTCTAGCCAAACTGCATCATTCTCCTGATCCGTCACTGATTTAAAAGGTGCACAGGAAAATTGAGCTGCACTGGGGAGAGGAAGGAGAAAGAGAGATGCATGCCAGCTTTCTCATAAAAATGGCAAGAGCTGACTTAAATTGGCAGATTCGATTAGGGTTATTATTATTAACAGAAACTAAAATGGAAAAAAAAAAAAAAAAAAGATGTTGATTCTGTGAAATAATCAGTAGTGATTTGAATGTAAAAATTAGCTGAATGATAAAAGCAAAACAAACTGTGGTTGGTTGCTTTTTATGTCAGTTATGATGATCTTTTACTATCCAAGTGTGTCGTTCTTGGCCAAAATATGCTACAAAATGGATTAGACTTTATACCAATACTCAAAGGTCTGTCTCTGCAGAAGACTAAGAACATCAGAATTTGAATCCTTTCATGGATTAGCTCAGATTTATTCAAAACACACTGCTCGCTTTCATCTTTCAGTGTTTAACCAAACACTTCAAATGCAAAACCTGTTTGGAAGAGAGAGCTGAGAGAACAGCTCTTTTTGCAGTATGAACTACCCACATTATTAACATTGTAGATGGTTGCTGAGAAGGAACTGAATCAGAATCCCTCTACAGAGAGCTTCTACAGCCCAAACTGGTCTTCAGACAGGCAATAAAGAGGAAAAGCCTGTATTTGACTCCACACATTAGACAGGTACTTTGATGCTTAAAAATCTATGACAAAAATACAAGATTGTAGGCAATTACTCCTCATGACAGAAATGTAACAATTATAATATTTTATACAATTATTTTTGTGATATAATAAATGTCTTTACTGTCAGTTTTGATTAATTTAATGCATCCTTGCTGGGGGAAAAATCTTAAAATTCTTTTAAAACAGTATTGTAAATGTTACCATTCACTCACTAAATGCATGCATGGCATATGGACAATTAGCGTAACAGCTACAATAATAAATTTAGGAGTCCTTAAAATAGAACCAAAGTGCTAATGCTGTAATTTCCACAAGAACGTCAGTGCCTTAAGATGTTTTGCTTTTAAATGACTTTAGATGGTCCAAAACAGTGCCAAAAAAAGCTCTACTCTGGCCTCAAAAACCAGGTCTGAAAGCAGGCACATAAATAATGGCTAAAATAGTGCTAGTGCTTTTATCAACTGGATGTAGAAAAAAAAAGAGAGCGAGAGGGTTTACGGTGTTGAGTATGGATTTTAAAAATACAATTAAGCAGTACCTTACATCAGCCTCTCACTGTGTTCTCTTGCTTTAATTTTCATATTTTTTCTTCTTTGTAAAATGAGGCATCTTTCACAACTGAATATGATTTGAGTATGTCCTCAGACGTTTCCTCCCCTGAGGGGGGCAGCGTTTCGTTGCGATACATTTGCGTTCATTCATTCAGTCGTTGGGTTCTTTGTTCATGCCACCACAGGGCTTCAAAACGACAAGAGCCCCACATTATTTTGTAGGGGGTGGGCTACAAAGTTTGCTGAAGCTACAACCATCTGTCAAGCCATCTCCGTCCTGCATGATTCATTAGAACATGACTGATGAACACCATATTGGTCACTCACCCTCAAACTGTAGGTCACAACTTCCTGCTTCATCAAGTTCTTCAAAATAAAAATACTACACAATGACCCGAGAATTGCAGTAAGTGGTGATATCTACATCACATCAAATATAAGATCATACAACAGCATTTTAGTGGCTTTTTTTTGATGGTTTAATGCATGAAATGAATTTTCCATCCACTTCAATTTTATGTCACTTTCCTTACAAAAAAGGGAGGTCACAGAAAAGACCCTGATTTGAAAATGAAATACATTACAAAAACACTTTTATGAAAACTATTAACTTTTTATAAAGATATGGCAGGTGTTATGAAATGCATACACTGCTCAGGGCTAAGCATCAGTACATATAGAAAAAAATAATGACAAGGCTAAAGTGTGCAGCTCTAAAGTGTGTTGCAGTGGGTGTCAGGAATGAGCCCTTGCACACGCCAAACAGGAAGCTGACAATAGGTTACAGATGTCAGAGAGCAGGTGTGTGTGTGGCAGAGAACTGGTGTGAAGCAGAGCAGGCAGAACAGATCTCTCTCTCTCTTTTCTCTTTTACCTGTCAGTGAAAGCTATTGTGAGATATGTAGAGGTCATGTCATGAGGTGGACCATGAATTACATGGAGGCTCTGAAACAATGACAGCCACAGCATGTGCAAGACCCGTCTTTTCACAACAGAAAAATAGCAACTACAGAACAAGTCAACTCAGTTCTATTAATGGATTTTTTTCTGTTTTTAATAATAGTTTTTATAATTGTTATATTTGTATGATAATTTTGACATTACAACCACTGAAGGCTATAGCCATTACTAGTGTTTTAAATTTCATTTTACTTTAATCAAAGCAGTTGAAAATGCTCTTTGTGTGATCTAAGGGACTTAGAAAAAAGAGCAGTACATTCGAGCACATGGCAACCATGGCAACACATGCTGTAGATTAACTGAGCATCTAAATACCAAAGAAGCTATTGCACAACTCCTGCCATTCAGCAGCAGGTCAGTTTCACCTGCAGACAATACTAGCATTTGAGTGTTACTGCTATTCTTTTCTTGCAGCTTTGTTTAAATAAATAAAGTTTTGAGTTCTGAAAGTTACAGTATGTTTTTATATTAAAATAAAATTGCATTTCAAAAGATCAAGAACAATTTAATTCCTCATGATATGACCCCTTTATATAAAACACTGAAACTGTATCAAGACCTTTTTCAATGGCATTTAAATTTGGACAACAAGATTTACATTGATCTGATATCAAATTGTTCAAAGCAAATCCAAATGTATTAGTGAGCAATTTTAGATTCTAATACCTATCATTTCACCTGAGAACAATCTAGGACCCCTATAGAGCTCCATCATGTCACACTGCATGACCCGAGACCCTCGCTAAGACAGAAAATTGATTTGGAGCCATAAAATCACTTGTCTATCTACTTGTTCATCCATCCATCCAACTAACCAAGCAAACCTATGATTTACTTCTGGACACTGCAGAAATACTTCTGCTACAAACTACATTAACGTTGAATGTAGATGAAGTCAGCCTTGCTGAGACATCCTGCAAGTTTTAGCAAAACCACATAAATGATAGAAGGTGAGGTTAGGAGTGTTTAATGTAAAGTTTCCAAAGATGACTGCATACAGAAAATGCAACACCAACAGACAGACTTCAGTGAATGATCAAGTTATAAGATACAATGCCAGCAAGGTGACACTGATGAAAGGTTCCAGAAACCATAACATACTAAAATAACTAGCTAAAAATTTATGCAGATATCATCTGAACCAGGATATATTAGGGCCGGGTGATATACAGTGGGTACGGAAAGTATTCAGACCCCCTTAAATTCTGCATTTATCTGATCAAAAATAATAGTGCAGCATTGACTCTTTTTTTTTAAGTTTACTAATATACTACATAATCCCCCGGTTTCACAGACAAGTAGGGATGTAACGGTATGAAAATTTCATATCACGATTATAGACAAGGCTTAAGCCTTGTCCCAAACTAAAATGTAAGTCTGAGCTGTTTTAAATCAAAGATACAAATCAAAGGACACCAGTAATGTTTTTTTTTTTCTAAGGCACATTTATAAAAATTACTTAAATGTCCTAATTGAACTATGGCCTAATCATGGCTTAAGCCCTGTTCACACTACAAGCGATACGCTGCCTCCATCTTGTTTGAGATGGCCTTGGGCCTCTTGTCACCCTTAAGCCCTGTTCACACTACAAGCGACACGCAACAGCAAAGCGACACTATCCCATTCATTTCAATGGAGAGCTGGCGATTTCCAGCGACACGAGCGGCAGCGGCCGTTGGCGACCGGATGGGGCGTGTCCAGCGACGCAACAAAGTTCAGAATCCTTCAACTTTATGCAAATGAAGAGCGACTTTCGGGAGCGACAGCCAATAGGAAAGAAGACGGTAGAGCTCATGTGATCGTTCTCCTCTCAGCGCCGTAGATAAACATACGCAATGGAAGAAAGTTTGGGTGTTGGTCTGGTCGCTGAGCAGTTTGGAGCAGTCTGCGATCACACAGATTTCGTATTTCTCCGTGGGTGAGAAATATCTGCGTAGAGGAATCGTGCAGGCCGCGGAAATCGAGCGTGAGTGACATTTAATGTGAACGTTGAGTTTAGGACATGCCATTTATGTTGTGAAGTGGAAGGGAAAGTAAACCAAACTTCTTTCTCCTTTAATAAAATAATACTAGAGGGGAGAACGAAGGCACGTGAAGGTGCATGTGAGGTGACAGCTGGGTGAATTTCTAATGTGACGCAGCACGCCACAGAGTGAGTAATATTGATTTCATTCGGTTTTGGGAAATGTATATGTATACTCAGAGAAAATGGTTCACTAGTTGTATACTGTTTTGATGTCAATGTTAATTTGAATTCATTAATAATCTGTTCTTGGAGAAGAAGATAGTAATAACAATGTTAATAGAGATGTACAGAGTGTAAAATGGATTTACTTGAATTTATTTAGTCAATAGTTATAAGTGGCTTATGAGAATGTATATTTGATTATATTCTATGTTTGTTCTTCCTTTAGAAAGCATTATAAGCCACTACCGTTGTTTATCCAGGGGGTTAAGTGCTCACACCAATTTATTTGTACTGTGTTTAATTAATTAATTAATTTTATTTTATTTTTTGTTACTGTGGGGCTATCCTTGTAAAGGGAAAAAAAGGGGAATTGGCGAAACTGGCCTGAAGTTATTTCGGTAACTGTGAGCACTATTTGAAGTGCTTATATTTTTGGATTTGTTTCTTTATACCTTTGGGGAAGCGTGCTTTTGGTTGTGTTTATTCTTCACTGTATACATTTCATCGGCACAACTCCCCTCAATTGAAAACCTTGAGTATTAATGCCGCGTCTTCTGCATACGCGGTCGGAAATAAAGTACGGATTTAATTTAGATTTAGATTATATTTAGTCTTTTGCCTCCAAAATGTTTGTACTTAGCAGCAAGAAACCTGATTCGCTGTCAAGGCAACCAGTATTGAGAACGCCCACTAGCAACCTCATCGCCAGCCCCTGGCGACATGCAGCGACTTTTGTCGCTGCTAGTGTGAATGGGGCTTTAGTCTAAGCCCTGTTTGTGAAACCAGGCCTTTTTTTTTGTTGTTCCTTTTTTCAAAAGAAAAAATCGTTATATATATCATACAATTAAATTAGATTTTGATCCCCCTCCCCCTATTCAAGGTATGCAAAACTAATTCAGAATTATCAACCAAGACGATGTTCTTCTAAGATGTAACATTCAGACTAAATTCCTGCTGTTAAACTCTGACCACGTTTCTGCATTTAACCCAAAGGTGGGCTCTGTTTCACCACAGAAGCTTTCAGAATACCGACAGTCGTAATGCTAACTTAATAACATCAACACAGATGAGTGTCATGGGATTAAAAGAGAGGATGGTGTCTCATAAACATACGCGCATTTATATACACACATTCATACACAACACAAACTAATTCAATTGAGCACTTTAGGGCTCTTTAGGGATGATGTAACAGCTGAGATAGTGCCTGCTGGGAGACTGGAGCAGAGTTAGATTAGATAACTCCCCTTACGCTATTAGCATGTCAAAGTAACATCTACTTTCTTTAAGAGAGCTCTGTGTAGTGAAGCTCCCAAGAGTTAAGACCTTGAAGGTCTGTGAATGTCTGCAAAGATATCCATTTTTGCAGACCAATTCATGACAACATGAAACCAAAACTGACTAATGCACCAGGGCCGTCAAGATTTAAAGGGGACATCGGATACAAAATTCACTTTTACATGGTGTTTGCATATAAATGTGTCTGCAGTGTATGGACACAACCACCGACAATGATAAAAATCCATTCACTCCTTTTTTATTCCCCAAAAAACCTAAGCAGTCTCAGTGTATGGACACAACCACCGACAATGATAAAAATCCATTCACTCCCAATTATAAAGCCGTTTTGATTTTCTGCGCAGTATGATGATCATTTTAACCAAAGTATGTTGCAGACATTTCATGAAGACCCTAAAGAATCATACCAACTTGTGGAAAGGGCAAAACACATCATATAGCAGTACTGGGATTAGGTTTAACAATATTTTTATGCTATTTATCAAATTTGATATTATTAGTTTGTTTTTGCTTTCTGAAGACTGGTCCGAAATCAAGAGGTTAATCACAATTGGATTATTTCTCTCAATTTTTATATTTTATCTAGTAATATTATCTTGAAATTAGGGCTGCACAATTAATCGAATTTCTAATCGCAATTACAATTATGGATGCCACAATTACATAATCGTTCAAAGCGGCAATCATGTAAATTGTGATAATCGTAATTAATAACCGCAACTACAATTTCAAGGGAATAATCGACAATTATGATTTTTGTCATAATCGTGCAGCCCTACTTGAAATCCAGTAAAAGTCAACGTAAAATGAAAAATCACCTATTTTCTAAATGCATGTTATTGATCTTATTGTGAATGATTCATCAATGCATACATTTCATTTCTCCAATTTTTATGTTACCAATTAACAACCAGAGCATTGAACCAACACTGTAAAAAATTACTTTTGGGGGTGTTAAATACAACCCATGAAAATCAGTTAGATTTTACTTAAGTATATTAGTTAGCGAGTAAAATATATAATAATTGGGTTAATTCTACATACACTACCTATTTGTTTACAGTAATAACTGCAACACTAAAAAAATTAGTAATATATACCCAAAAATATTAGTTCTGGCACCTCAAAGTGCGCATGCGTCAACGTCCAGGAGGGACTCGCGGGATTTGCCTTCTGTGTCAATGGTGGGACAGTGATGTGCCGAACTACAGATACGTTTTATTTAAAACATTCTGATATCATCGTTAATGCAAATGTTTATTGTTTAATTCTAAGATCTACAAAAAGATTTGTGTTGGTGCGCTTCTGTGTTATGTTGTCGGCTCCACAGCCGTCGTCGTCGACTGAATTTGTGGTTGGTCAAATTAACTTTGAAAGCGGAGAACATTGTCCAATAATGGCACCTGCAAATGCGAGTAAAAATCTACATTGGTGATTAAAATATATTAGCTGCCATTAGTGTTATGTATTATGGCTAAAATTAGTGAACAGCTTTAGCGAATCTGCTGCGCGCGTGTGGTGGTTGAGCGAGTGAGAGAGTGAGTGACGGAAGACTCGACCTTAAATTTTTCAACTAATTTGATCATTTTCACTTGGATGTTTGTCACAATATGGAAGAAAAAAAAAATCTAAACTACACCTATACATTAACATTAATAGTGGGTAAAAAAAATACATGCTGTCAAGTTAATACAAAGTAAATATTCTTCAGATAATATCCCAATAGTTTGCTTTGACTTCAGTACAATGACAATATAAAAGCCAATTGATTTTGAAATCATCTCTTTAAAATATGCTTCATTTTTTGGAAAAGTTGGAAAAGCCCTGACATAAAACAATATAACAAGAGATCCATACATTTCAAGTCTTAAGTCATTCAATAGTAATTTCTTCATTGATAATCTTTATTTTGCAGTGAACTTTTATTTGCTATCACATGTACCAGCTCAAAAAATTAGGATGGGAATGAGATTTAAGAAATGCAACAGAGGGGAACTTTTCGGTGAATACCAACCTACATTTCAGTTTCTGTTTATTATAAATACAACCGTTACATGGCTTCAGAAGACTTCCAATGTAGCACACAAGTCATATGGACTCCTTTCTTACTTCTTTTATGGTGTTTTTTGGTCCTTTTTGGAGCTTGACAGCCATGGTCACTAAGACCTGTAGCTGAATGCCGCTTGTTCTTAATGGATGATGGAGGCAGAAAAGTGCACAGTGTCTGAGCAGAGGTCAGAGGGCCGTCTCGGCATGTCCAAGGCTATTCAACTCCTTGTTAAAGTCTTAAATACTAGTCAGACTCTGAGTGTTCCCAAAACCCCTCCTCCAACTCAGACCTGATGGACAATGTGGCCCAAAACAAAACTAAAGCGTTTCTATCACCGGTCAGCAGTATGGTGTTCAGACAGTAATGTAGACTGCTCTCTGCATCCGAGCACAGAACAGCGCTACCTGAAGTGACCCAGTGAACCATTGTTTTTATAGAGCAAGAAAATAAACTTGACAGCTCAGTGCAATGAACCTCTGAGAAAGAAAATGAGAGCAAATGAGAGTGAGTAAGATGCAGAGGCTTTTTCTTGCTTCAATACAAAAGGGGTCAAAACTTTTGACAGAAAAACACAGAATTGTTGACATTTTTGCAGATTTATTAAAAAAGAAAAACTGAAATATCACATGGTCCTAAGTATTCAGACCCTTTGCTCAGTATTTAGTAGAAGCACCCTTTTGATCTAATACAGCCATGAGTCTTAGGGCTAGTTTAAAATAGTATACAATATATAATATAGTATAAAATATATACATAGTATAAAAATATGTTTATATAAAGTATATTTATATATAATATAAATTATATGAATATAAATATATACAATTTAATGTGTCCTTGCTGAACAAAACTATTAATTTCTTTAAAATTTAATAAATATTTTAAAAAAGCAATTTTTAAAATCAAGGTTAATGTTTAATATAAATTAAACGCACGCACACACATGCACACACACACACACACACACACACAAGACACAGCAGGTTCACACCGAGCCCAGCTGCTGCTACACAGCCCAGGAAGATGAGCGACTGGAACACACAAATACATGAGATATGAGTTTCTTCGTTAAAAAAATTTAAAAAAATGAGGGAAATTTCTCATTCTTTGGAAATGAAAGAGTTTTGTTTTTATCAGTCAACTCAGCCCAATTATGGAAACTAAATTCTACAAGTTGTTCAGATAGCATTACTGTAATGATATCTGAACTAGGAGTTCTTTAACAAATGACCCATCATATTTACATAAAAATGCATATTAAATGTATTTACATTTTCAAATACTCAAGTCAATATGAAATGCAAATTAACTCCTGATGCATATTGTTTGAAGGGCTGCTAAATGATTAATTGCGATTAATTGCATTCAAAACAAAAGTTTGTGTTTACATACTATATGTGTGTAATGTGTATATTTATTATGTATATATAAATACACACAAATACATGCATAAGGAAAATTTTATATATAAAATATTAATATTTTATATAATATAAATTATATACAAGTATTAATACATGCATACAATTATGTTTTAAAATATATACATATATGTGTGTGTATTTATATACATAATAAATTTACACCGTACACACACATATAGGCCTAGTATATAAACTAGGGCTGAACGATTTTGGAAAATAATCTAATTGCGATTTTTTTTACCAATATTGCGATGAGCTGAACGAGACACAGATTCACTCTCTTCCAGCAGGTAGTGCTTAAAGCGTTTCCTTGGTTTCCACTGTAAACAAAGCAGCGCTGCACTTATGACCTTTAAAATGCATTATACAGAGGCAAGATGAAAAGAAAAAATACCATCTAAACTTTTTTAAAGACAGTAAGTTCCCCTCAGACATACATTCATACAAAATAAGTCTTTGACTGTGCTCTTTTCATTTAAAATTAGAGGCAACCACTGCATTTTAATCATGATCCAAACAAAGATGCTGCATATGCAACATGAGCAGTTTTTAATCTAAATTAGATTGCATAATTTCGAAATTTGAAGCAAAAACAGAATTGTTTGACTTCAATTTTGTGAATTTTCAACCGGCTCGCGGTTAAACGTTACATCCCTATTAAAAACACATACTGTACTGTTAAAAAAAAATAAATGCATTTTTTCATGATCCAATCAACTCCTAATAGATCAAAATCACGACACGTCCAACAATGATTTTCCTGTTTCACTGTGAAATACGTCACATTATGCAAGTAAAATGGGTTATGAATGCTTTTGATTTTAAAAGGATGTGCAACATGTTGTACTGATGACAGCATTTTTATTTTTAGGAAAAAAAAAAACAATAAAAACATGGTTGTCACGGCGACTGTCACAGCCCTAAACAGCATTAAAAAAATCTCTAAAAATAATAATTGTCATGAGTACAAAAATACAACTAAATATCAGTAGAATAGCAAAAGCAGCCAGCTTAATAATAAAAGGTTCAGAGACATAAGTCATAGAGAATGAAATAGGACAAGATGGTACAAGAAACCCTGACTAATCTTACAAGTGTACTTATTTGGGAAAAAAACAAACAAAAACAAAATTATCAATGTGCAGAATATGGCCTTTTTGAAAAAGTAATAAATAGAACCCTAATAGAATCATAAAGTCGTAATGAAACAGAAGTAGCAACAGATCTTTTCTCAAAGGATTAAGG